CTATAACCAAACAAATGTAATTTTGTAGAGTATATTAAAAGGTTTTCTAACAAAACTGTAGCGAGATTATTTCGTATTGTATCACTGACATTTAAAATGTGAAATTTGATAAGTGTAGATTATCGATTAAGAAAAGGGAAATCTTTGGCACTATTAAACAAATTGGTTTCTAAGTAATAAAAAGTAAAATTTAGCAAAAGCTTCAACTTATTAATCCTGTCTTAGAACATTTGCTTCATTTAAACATTTGTCTCAGAACAATTTTTTCGACCATTTTCGGAAAATTAAGGATGTCGTATTTTAAATATAAGTTGTGTACATTCTACACTGAAAAAATAAGTATGGTCAAATCTACCAGAATATGGTAACATTAACAGTGTTTCCAGCTGTATAGGAACACCAAAAAGGTCGGTAATTTTTAGTGAAACCCTTTGGTAAAGGTTTTCTTAAACTTAATAAAATATTTTTTTATAATATGTGATAAAATTAGCATAAAATTGTGGTAAAATTTAGTAATTTTACCATGATGCATAGCATATAAACCATTTATTTGGTTAAATTTACTTTTCAGTTTTGTGTTTTTTAAAGAATGTGTGGTAATATGAATTATTATTTTGAAATATAAAACTTTCGGTAAACTGTTAGCATATGAAAGGAAACAAATTGCTGAATAAGGGTTTAAATGCCATATATTTTGGTATTTAGTACCAGAATCATGGTTTTTTTTACCACAGCTCTTTCTAAGAGTTTTGTGATTATGTTTAAGAATAAATTATTTATCCGGTTATGTTTTTCAGATTTAGATCATGAGATTCAATTTGAAATTTTATAAAAGTAAGAACTTGATACTTGCAAACTTTCGCATATTTTCCAATATGCTTTAGTAGTTTAGCAGTATTTCTGTAAATAAAAATGAAGACTGCATATACACTCACAAAGTAAAACGATTCAGCAATCGATTCTTTTTGCAATTTAGCTATCCCTGAGCTGCATTTCGTTAATTTTGAGAATCATTTCGTCACAAAATCATATGATTTGTGGCGAAATGCATATATGACGAAAATGGTTCTTCAATTCCGAGCCTCATTGCAGTGCATTATGGGGAATTGTTAAATAAAATAAAGACTAGATGATTGAAAATAGAATGACGAAACAAGTCGACTGCCTGTATGTTGTTCAAGGGGTTGACCTAATACTAAAATGAACCCGGGTTTGAGTCTCGTTTCGAACATGGATGTAGTTTATCTCTTTGTTCTGTCTTTCTTGCTTTGTTGGGTTGACGCCGATCTAGATATATGATGCCCCCGAAAAAGTTATCAACAATACCACTTGCTAGATTCTATGAGGCATTTCATGTGCTTCATGGCATTTTGTGAGAGGAGGGGGCAGAAATAGAATGATGACATTTTTTTCCCCTTTTGACGAAATTCCTTCCCTAGAAAAAGTGACATTAGTCATTTAGTGACTTAGACAAAATTTTTGTTAGGAGCATATACCAGGTAACTGTTTCGTCAAAAACAAAGAAAGTTACATGATACTTGAATATCCTTTTTTTACAGTATGATTTTTGAGTATCTTTTAATCACCAATTGAAAAACATTCTGCATTTTATTCTTACATCTTTAAAGATAGTTCTAGACCTAAAGCAACAAACCAAACATTTTTTTTTGTTTCAAAAATTAACTTTTTCTAAGTAATTTTCTGCTACGGATTAAATATAGAAATATCCTAAAATAATATAGCAATAAATCTTCTTTATATTAATCATGATATAAAAACCTTATTGACATAGAAAATTATAATAAATCTATTTTATAATAAAAAATAATATTTAGTTATTAAATAATTAAATTAAATGGTTAAAAATAATCTTCATTGACCGTTAAAATAACATTAAATCTCTTTCCGAATAAAAAAAATGTACTATTCATTAATAGCTGAATTAAATATTTACGTTTTAATTTATTTTTTTTAATTGCTTCTTGAAATTAAATAAAAGGAGCAAATAAAATTTTTTGTAAGATCAGTCAATTATTTTATATTTTGACTACTCAGAATATATAAAATAATATTTTCTTGTTTCAGACCAACTGACCGAATTTAGTCCACTGTTCAAAAATTTCAACTAATCTACTTCTACTCCTCGGCCCTACAGTCCATGAAGGACCTTGGCCTCCCTTACTAGACAGCTCCCCTTTATCCTCCAATATTTTTGTTTTTTCAGATCTCTTTCAACTTCAGCAAGCCATATTTTTCTAGGGAGTCCAACCTTTCTCTTTCCCACTAGTTTTCCTTGATGGATTTTTCTGTTGCTCTTTCTTCACCCATTCTCTCCAGATGTCCGAGTCATTGAATTCTTTTTGTTTTTTTAAATTTACTATATCTTCATCCTTATATAGCTTACTTAACTCTAAATTACTTCTAACTTTCCAAAAATCTGCATCTTTGATTGATCCATAAATCTTCCTGAGAATCTTTCTTTCAAAAGAAACAAATATTTTTTCTTCTTCCTGATTAATAGTCCAAGTTTCGATTGCACATGTGACGATGGGTCTAAACATTGTTTTATATAATTGTAGTTTCAATTTTCTGGAAAGCAGATAAGATTTAAATAATTGAAGCATTGAAAAGTAACATCTGTTTCCAGCTGTCAGTCTATCCTTTATCTCTCGGTTTAATTAATTTTTTTCAGTGATAATTGAGTCAAGATATTTGAGTTTCGTCACCCTTTCAAAACCAAGTTCAGTATTTACTGCACTCGCGGTTGGTCCGTTTTCTCTGTCCATAAAAGCGCATTTAATTTTTTTCCCGTTAACCAAAAGTCCCACAGTTTTCAATAATCAGGAATAAATATTTTTATATTACCCTTTTATTGAATCAGCTTGAACTTTAATTTTATTTATTCATGATATTATCAAACTGAGTGAATTTAAAAAAAAATATTATAATTCATATTCTATAAAATATTTAGATTTTCTCCGTTAACCAGAAGTACTACAGTTTTAAACTAATCAGGAATAGTTTTTTCTTATATTACCCTTTTATTGAATTAGCTTAAGCCTTAATTATATTTATCCTTAATATTATCAAATTGAATGAATTTAATAAAATTTATTAGAATTCATATTCTTAAAATATTTAGTTTCTCCCCCGTTAACCAAAAGTTCCTCAGTTTTCAAGTAATCAGGAATAATTATCTTTATATGGCCCTTTTATCAAATTAGCTTGAACTTAATTTTTTTTATCCTTGATATTATCAAACTTAGTGAATTTAATAAAATATATTAGAATTCATATTTTATAAAATATATAATTTTAGAAACTTTTTTAACATATTCAAGTAAAATGCATAAAATAAAAACTTTTTTTTTTATCCCATTGTTGTCTTCATTTTTTTACCAAATGCAATGAATTTAAAAACAAATTTTTAAAGCCCGTACTTTGCAGAAACAGTTAATTTAAATTTATAGCAATATACTCAATGAAAATTCAGTTCTCAACTAAAACCTAATCCAGTTTAGAATATGTAATACAACTATTTTAAGTTGCTAAAAAAAACGCCTTTTTACTTCCTAAAAGTTTTGCTCATCAATTTAAACTTCTTTCTCATTTTGAAAGGTGAATAAAAAGAGGTTGCATGAAAATAAAATCTCCATAAAAATTTTTCGCTTCCATTAAGTTACTTTTAAAGTTACTCAACATCACAACTTCAGACATCAACTAAGCTTCTCCATTTGCCTTAAAAAAAGAATATTCATAACCGCATTTTATTATAAGGTAATAAAACTTCTAGTTAGTTATTATAAGTTAAATAGTTTTAATTTAAAATACAGAATGCTGGTATGATACTGCTGCAGTTTTTAAATCCCCGAATTACGAGCATTTTTCAGTAGTTAGTATTTATTAGTTAAATAGTTTTAATTTAAAATAAAGAATGTTATTATAATACTGCTGCTATTTTTAAATCGCCGCTATATTACCCACAATTTGGAAGTTCGTCGTCATTGATTAAATCGTTTTAATTTAAAATATAATATTTTGGTCTAATAATAGTTCTTACACAGAGAAAAAAATTATAGTAAAAACTACCAAACCATGGAAAAATGCATCGTATTTCTGACTTTGTTGAACCACCAAAGAGCTCAGTAATTTTTATTGTATTTTTGACTTTGTTGAACCACCAAAGAGCTCAGTAATTTTAATTGAATTTTTTATTTTGTTGAACCACCAAAGAGCTCAGTAATTTTTATTGTATATTTGACTTTGTTGAACCACCAAAGAGCTCAGTAATTTTTATTGTATTTCTGATTTTGTTGAACCACCAAAAAGCTCAGTAATTTTTATTGTATTTTTGACTTTGTTGAACCACCAAAGAGTTCAGTAATTTTTATTGTATTTTTGATTTTGTTGAACCACCAAAGAGCTCAATAATTTTTATTATATTTTTGATTTTGTTGAGCCTCCAAAGAGTTCAGTAATTTTTACCGAAGCACTTTGGTAATGATTTCAGTAAAATTAACAATAAAATGTGGTTTCATATTATGCGAAAATAAGAAAAAAATTGATGAATCTAGAAATAAAATTTAGATTCCATAATAATACCTTAGGGCATGGCATAAAAACCATTTATTCAGTTAAATTTACTTTTCAGTTTTATATTTATAACTAAATATTTGATAATAAGAGCTATAACTTTGAAAATTTAAAGTTCCGGTAAACCAGTAATATATCAACAAAAAACCTAATATATGCATGGTTTAAATATCGCATATTTTTGTTTTTTAACAAATATTATGTTTTTTTAACCAGAAACACCATTATCGTACAGTATTTTAACCATAATTGTTTTCTTCGTGTAATTTGTTTTAAATCGCAGTTAAATTATACACAGGGCAATATATTTTGCACTTTCATATTTTAAATTGATTTATAATAAGTGATTCATTTAATTATTTTGCTTTTTTCATTTAATTCCTTTTCTTTTTCTTCCCTTTTTTCAGGTATTTTTGATAATGGACGCATACAAATGGGACAACAGAGTTCGTTTTGTAGTGAGGCACATGTATGGTAAGTTAACAGAAATGTATATTTCGAACTAAATTGATGTTCTAACAAACTAAACTAGCAAATCATAGGAGGTTACGTCAACTGGTTAGTGCTTATCACCGGGTACTAACCTGCTGACTTTTTATTTAAGATATGATAAAAGTTACAATAAATAAAAGTACAAAATTTATGAAACACTATACAGTGTGCATTACAGTGTGCATTAAGCTTTTTACATTTATTTTTTAATTTGTTTGCTTTTAAACACCACCCATGCACGTGTTTAAAGCATTTTTTTAGCTGATTTCATCATCTCTAACGGCTACAATACTACAATAGAGATGTTGCAAGTGAAAATTATCACATATTACTCAACGTTTCTCTCATTCAGTAATTATACACGATTTTATGTCAGGAAGTAAAATAATTCAGATTTTTTTTATGAACAGGATAATTAATTTAAAACAAAAAAATACTTTTCAATGACAGTTTTTCAACCCTTTTTTATGGATTCATTTAAAAAACTGGCATGCTAACAATATGAAATTAAAATCTACTCAAACTTGTAACTCTGAACTGTAAAATAATATATTTTTAAAAATAATTTTAATTTCAGTTTTTGATCTTTTGAATGTTCATATTTATTTCAACATTAATAATCGTTTCTGATCGATGCATTTGATTCTAAGTAAGGTTATTTTCAACTAAGAATAAGATAACTTTCATTAAGCACAGAGAAAAAATGCTGGTAAAATTACCGCAATGACATGGTAAGGCCACTTCAAGGAAGAAAACCATAATTCTACAAATGAAAACCAAAATATACTGTATTTAAACCATTTATTTGATAAGTTTTTCGTATATGAGGTAATGGTTCACTGAAAATTCTAGTTTACAAAATTATGGTCTTTATTACCGCACGCTTAATAAAAAATACAAAACTGAAAAGTAAATTCAACCGAATAAAGGGTTTTTATTCCATGCTCTTAAGTATCATAATAAAATTACCAAATTTTATGGAATATTATAAAACCATATTTAATTGTTAACTGTACCAAATTCATTACCAAAGCGCTTCGGTAAAAATTACCCAGCAATTTGATGTTTCCATAAAGCCAGAAACACGTACATTCTACCACATTCTAGTAGTTTTGACCATACTTTATTCTCAGTGAATATAAAATATCAAAGAATTTATGGGAAGTAATAAACAATAAGTTAAATAAAATATTTTTAACATCGTTCATCAAAAAATAAAATAATTCTGATTTTTTAAACAAAACTTATTTGAAATATTGAAAACAGCAATAATAATTTCCAGTAATAGACTTTCAAATGTTTTTAATTATTTATTTAAAAATTGTCATTATAAAATCGAAATATACCTTAGCTTTAGTTCTAAGTGCAATAACAACACGTACCAATTTTTCGGTATTGAAGTTTTGAATTATCTGAATTTTCATCAGCATCAAAGATCTATTCTGATCAAACTTACTTATATTTAAATTAGATTACTTTTAACAATAAACATTCAAATCAACTAGAGAACTATAAAAAGGAAAAAAGAAAATGTTGGATGGTTAAGGTTAAATAACTAATTAAATTTAAAGATTTCAAAAAGCTAATTCAATACTTCATCCGAATAAAATTAATAAGCAGGCATCACGTTTTCAAATACTTCATAACAATGCTAACGTCAAACTTGAGACAGAGAGGATAATTGAATTTAATTAGATAACAAATCAATGATAGAAAAAGCTTATTGATTATGTTATTTAATGGTTCACTCTTAATTAAATCAAACATTACAAAGGCAAATAATATTTTTTGAAAGAAAGAAGCGAGTATTTTTTCAAAGAAAAGCTTCGGATTTTTGTGAAATATCTGATTAGGCTTAGCCGGAGGGAATTCGATTCGAACACAATAAAAGAGGTGAGTTCTAAAAATAGTTTCATTCTTTTAAAGAAGAACTCTTTATTTCATAATATTTTATTATATTTAGTCAATAAATGTCAACATTTTTCATCGCTTGACTAATATTTGAAGTGTCTTGTTTATTAGTTACAGAAATTTACGATTTTTCATTATAAAAATTTTTGGAAAATTTGAAGAAAAAAATTATTTAATCTAAGCACAATATAGAATTAAGCTTTCTCAAAATACTAACATTACATAAAATAAAAAAATTTTAATGTCTTAAATTAGTTTTATGGCTTTATAATTTTTATTGGACAGATAATTTGGATATGTAAAGCACTATGAGTTGTTGCCTTAAATTTAATTACCTTTAATAATTTAACAAAGAGCTTGCATTGAAATTATTCCTGCCTGCATATTACGAAGAAATGTTTCGAATAATTTAATTTAAATACATATTTAATTTAATTAATTTTATATATATATA